AGCCAGGGCCAAGTAGGCAATCCACTTGTGCTGGTAATTCTGGAAACCTTCCTTGGACAATTTGGAGATGCTAGTGAGATTATCCAGTTCTTCCTCCTAGTCTTAAGTTGCCAGTGTTTAGTGTGTAAATGTACCCTACCCACTGGCTGCCTCTATTCTCACCTCAGAACCATTACAAAGGATCTGTCCATCCAGAGAATTCTCTGATCCCACTCTCTCCCCTTTCCTACTGATCTAGCCTCAGATGGACCCTGTTTAATTGTTTCCCTCTACCAGTCTTTCAAAACTCTTCTCTTAGAAATTATAGAATACTCGAGAGCCACAACAAGGTAAAGGTAAACAACCCAATTGCAAAATAGGCACAGGATATGAACAGACACTTCACATTAATAACTGGATTTAAAACAAACTAATCCTATACCCCAGTGTTTCTCAACCTTTTCTACATTATTCCTTTTTTAAAAAAAATACTAGTTTATTTACAAAATTCTAATACATTGTTTTCCAGAAGACATTCAGATGGTGAACAAACACATGAAGAAAAGTTCAAAATCCCTAGTTCTAAGAAAGATGCAAATCAAAACAACTATGAGGTATTATCTCACCCCAGTAAGAATAGAAAATTCAACAGAGCAGCAAACAACAAATGCTGGTGAGGTTGTAGAGAAACTGGAACCCTTGGTCACTGTTGGTGGGAGTGTAAAATGGTGCATCCAGTATGGAAGGCAGTATGACAGTTTCTCAAAAAGTTACAAATAGAAATACCATTTGACCCAGCAATTCCACTACTAGAAATATACCCTAAAGAGACCAGAACTGACACCCAAGCAGATATATGCACACCAATGTTTTTGCTGCTTTGTTCACAATAGCAAAGAATTTGAAACCACCCAAGTGTTCATCAACAAATTAATGGATAGAGTACCTGTGGTATATTCATACAATGGAATATTAATGCATCCCTGAAAAACAAAGAACTCATGAAATATAATGCAAAATAAGTGACCATGGAGGACATTATGCAGAGTGAAATATCTCAGTTACAAAAAGACAAATACTGCATAATGCCACTGTTCTAGAACAGGACTGGCATGGGGCTTGGGCGGGGGGGACTAAGAAAAGAGGGCACGACATTGAATCATACCAGGGAGAAAACTATATAAAAGGAATATATGATTAGTTATTATTGGTATGACAAGAGTCCAGAATAAGAGCTGCATAGTAAAGTGGTCTGAGATGGTGGTGGGACTGTATAACAATGAAAGAACTACTTTTCCAAAGAAAAAAGTGAATGGGGGAGAGAAGGCAGGGGAGGGGAAGTGAGGAAAATATGCAACAATGAATGAATGGATATCCAAGTTCTTTATAAACTTGCAATAAAATCTCAATAAAGAAAGAATATTAAGTATTTTAAAAAAATACCCAACCCAAACCTGCTCTCTTACCTAATTACCCTAAGCCAGTTAATAATTTTCCACACTGACTGCAGTAACAAGGACCCAGAGAAGGGTAGGCCCTATTTTTTAAAATATATTTTCATTTTTGGACATTTTCTTTCCCCTCCAACCCACATCATAATGCACCCCTTCTTCCAGATTGTTCTCATACATATAAGGCCTAGTCATATCTTCCTTTTGCAAAGTTTTTCCCTTATCTGTCCTAATGCAGTGTTCATTATCTTTCCACTCTTTTCCCATTCTCTTCCTAACCCTTCCCCATGTCTGTCCTATTTTAAAGCAGCAATGTAATGCAGTGTTCTTTCTTTTATGACAGATATTTCACTTGGCGTAATACCCTCCACGCTCCCCCATGTTGTGTAATGTTTTATGAATTCATTGTTTTTCAGTGCTGTATAATAATCCATTATGTGAATGTACCGTAGTTTTTGAATCCATTAATTTGTTGATAGGCACTTGGGTTGCTTCCATCTCTATACTATTGTGAATAACACAGCAACAAAAATGGGTGTGCATACATCTGTTTGATTTGTGGCTCTGGTTTCTGCGTGGTATATTCCCAGAAGTGGAATTGCTGGGTCACATAGTATTTCTATGTCCAACTTTTTGGGAAAGAATACTCCCAGACTTATTCTATGAGGCAAACATATCCATGATATCAAAGTTAAGTAAAGACACCATCAATGGTGAGAATTTTTGTTTTCTTGATTTTCAGATGTACTCCATAGTAAAGACTGCAGCTTTTTATCCCCTTTAGTAAGTGCTAGAAGTCTTCTTCATGTCTTCAGATGACCAGATGGCTTATGAGTTATTTTCAAAATTTCTTAGTATAGACCAGCAAGCACATCCAGGGCTGCATGTTTTTATTGAAACATGTCAATTGGTATTCCATTAATTCCTGGGACTTCCTTTTTTGCCAGTATCTTTGGTGTGTTTTGGATTTCTTCCTTCATTACTGTTGGTTCCTGATCATATACTTCTTCCTAAAATGTTGTAGTTTCAACCAGTTATTTTGGGAACAGGGAGGAGCTTTGATGGTGTAGTCCCTAGGGATTTGAACTATTAATCCAAAGGTGTCACCTATGGTAGTTTGAATCCACCATCTGTTCCATGGAAGAAAAATGGGCTATCTCCTCCCATGCAGTTTACAGACACCAAAAACATACTGGAGTGTCATCTACTAGTCCTTTCCAACTGGACATCAGTAAGAAAAGTGAGTGAGTTCCCAACAAAACTACCAGGTAATAATAACTGGATTTAAAACAAACTAATCCTATACTCCAGTGTTTCTTAACCTTTTCTACATTATTCCTCTGGTAGAGGCCTTTTTTTAAAAAATACTAGTTTATTTACAAAATTCTAATACATTGTTTTTCAGAACAGATTCTTCCAATTTCCCTCATCCGCCTTACCCCTCTCCCTCAGTAGAGGCCTTTTAAGGTGTTTTCATTTCCTAACAAGATAGTTTAAATATTTTCTTCACCCTAAAAACCACAGATATACTTTGTGTATGTTTGTCATACTTATGTCTGTGTTTTATACATATAAATACTAAGAGTTTTTTGTTGTTGCTGCTTTTGTTTATCAGAACCGGCTTTACCCACATTGCCGTATTTAATCCATGCTCTCATTCCTTCATCACAGCCCCATGCAGGGTAGATTCTCACTTTGTTCCCTGCTTAGAACAGTAACACAGGACCTGGCACTGGTGAAACAAATGTTTTCTCCCTTCCCCATCAGTATAAGCCTTATACTCTTCTGTCCTCATCTCCAAGCATAGAACTCACTTCTGGTGCCCTCCAGTATTACTCGGCATGATGGCTCATGCAGACTGGAGGTGGAGTAGTCAGACGCTGACAGCCTACTCCTCTGTTCCAACTCCCAGGATCTGCCCTTTAGTAGTACTGCCAGTCTGTCAAAGGCAAGTGATATGAGCACAATGGAATAATTAAGGCAACCCCAACTACCATTACCTTTGCAGCAACTCAAGGTTGGATTCACAGTTATCGATAAAATTATTTTGGTTCAGCATATCACATCAGCCTCCCTCTGAGGATGCCCTGGGTAGAGTAGCAAGCTACTTCTCATCAGCAATTACAAACAAGTCCTCCAAACAACTCCTCCATTGTTAGCACTGCCATCTGTTTTCTTGGTTTCCACCAATCAAGTGCCAGAGTCATCAGCATAACTAGGGCTGAGAAGACTACAAGGGACTGTGATCAGGAGCCCCTTTATAAAGACACATCATACCCATACTGGAGAAGGCCTGTAGCATGATGCTTTGGATAGTTAAGCCTCCCCAACTCAAGCCAGCCAGAAATGCTTAATATTTACCAACTCCCTGGAAAGAAATGAGGTCCCTTGAGGCAACAATAGAAAATCTTGGTATTGTTCCGATTGTCCCCAGGAAACATTCTAGCTTGTGATCAACAATCAGCCCAGCTCTTCCATCAGCCCAGCTCTTCAGGTGCCTATTGAGTACAACCAGCTTCTTCTAGCAGAGGAGTCATGTTAACAGTGGTCTGAAAACAAGCCAGGCTGGAACGAAATGCTAGTATATTATCTGGATCTGTACTGAAATTCCTAGTCCCAGAATTTTTTGGGGGGATGGAAGAGGAGAGAGAGAGAAAGTGTGTGTGTGTGTGTGTGTGTGTGTGTGTGTGTGTGTGTGTACAAAGATTTTTTGTGCTGTCAAGCTTCAACACTGGAAAATCCTTGGTAAAAGACCAAAGAAGAGTATGTTCCAGGCTGAAACCTGAGTATACTGGATAGATTTCCATCAATACTTGGAAAAACACCAGTTCAAAGAAGTCCTCTTTTCTTCAGGAAAACCCCTATGAAGACTACCTCAGGGGTCCTTTCAGTGGCACTTGGAAAGTGGGCCTAGTTGTAAGGCCTACCTTCGCAGATAGTCAGAGATTAATCCACTTTTACAGCCGTGGTCACACAAACCAGGCCTAGGTCCCTGATGAAAGTACTATGTCCAGATCTGATGGTGGTCTATTGTTCTGTACCATCAAATCAGAAATAACTAACAGCTGACCCTCTGGTGGGTTTTCAGAGGCCGTTAATCACACAGGAGGAGATTGCCCATTTTTCTTCCATGGAGAAGCTGGTAGATTTGAACTGCATGTTTTTGGGATTGCTGTGCAACTTTTTTACCACTATACCTCTGGAGTCTACTGACTCCGAATTCAAGGCTGTCAGACCCCAGTTCTATGAAATATCTACAGTAGGCAAGTGTATAGATACCAAAGTAGATTAGTACCTCACAGGGTGAAAAAGAGGGTAGGAGGAAGGAGAATGCATTGTTTAGGAGGCTTGGGCTGCTGTTGAAGGGGATGGAAAGTTTAGAAACAGACAGTAATAATGGTTAATGAGTATAATATCATTAGATTGTACATATGAAAACTTGAAATGGTAACAGTTTTGAGATAGATAAATGGATGATAGAGATCTCACAATCAGAAAGGAGTTTCGGAAAGTTGGAGATGAGAAACTTGTTGTGAAGCCTTGAAAACTCTTATCTTGACTATGTTTTAGGAAGTCACATGGACCCCAGGAACCAGGTGGAACTGTTGTCACTCCCCAGTATCCACAGGCTCCTAACAAGCTGCACCAGATATGCAGATATGTTGGCTTGCTGTGTCCCTTCCATTTCAGATCTGTGAGTGTGTCATAAACACATCTTAGTTCCTCCAGGTGCAACTCTGATTTGTCTTTCCAGTTGATGATCTGCAGGCCTGGGAGAGCAGCCCAGGGTTCAGGAAGGGGGTGGGTGCTGCTCCATATTTTTACTCATTTCCTTTTCTATTCTTTCCCTACAGATTAAAATATGAAAATCTCTCATTACAATATCTGAGAAAGGTAAGATGCCACTTCAGTGGGTTTGTCCAGTCACCCTGGGGTTTTTTTATTAGTTGGGTGTGGGACGGGGTACACTTACTACCATATATCCTTCCACAGCTCACCATGGGAGGAAGCCCCCTCCCAGGCCTGACTCTACCTCCAGCGCCCCCACACCTTCCCATCTCCTGGCCATGTGTATCTGCACTGCCCAGGGACACCCAGCATTGCCTTTCTTCTGCCTTACACTCTGGGCAGAATCTGACTCCAACACCTGCCACCCCAGAAACAGTCTTTGTTGCCTACCTTTTGTATGCCGGGATGCAAGGAGCTAGCAGGCACTGAAGCTGCCCCCTTTTTTGTTGCCCAGGCCCTGAGGAATGGGGTCTTGAGATGGGCTGATAAGAAGAGGCACATGCTAGCCTGGCCTTTGACCACAGGCCTTAGTAGAGGCCTGCCAGGCTGCTATTTGGGGTGGACAGACTGCTGAGCAGGCTGCTGAAAGGAACAGCTGGGGGAGGGAAAGCAGACAGAAATAGGAGGACCTGGGGATTGTGGCCTCGAGTTAGGCAGTAAACACAAGATATGGCCTCTGTGGGCCTCTGTTTCTGCAGTGGGATGTGGGGTCCAGGTTTCCCCAGTGGGCCTGAGTGGGGCCTTGAGGCAGAGTGCTGGCCAGAAGCCTTCCCAGGGCTTACAGACTTAACAGGTGAATGGAGGCAAGGTAATAATTGCAGAAGTAACTCCTCAAAGAGTAGCAATGGATGGTTGTCATTTCTCCACCATATCTCCACAGTGCAAAGCATGGCACAGATGTCATCATCTGGACATACACGAGTGGGAAGTTAGGGTCCACCTTTCTCTGCCAGGGATAGAAGCCTCCAAGCCAGGGAGACAACCACTTCCACCATGGTGCAGGAAGACAGCCCCTCCATTCTGGCACCTGTGGCTTTGGCCTAGAGCTGCCATTGTCCCTGACTGGACTCTGGAAGTCCCCGCAGGTGATGAAAGCTGAGAACCCAGGGACTCAGCTGGAAGTATGTATGCAGGAGCTATACAGCTCCCACTTCCAATCATGGGTGTCTACTACAGAAGCATTTCTTTGCTGGAACTCCATGCCCACATGTGCCACAGACATGATGAAGTGAAGCTTGAGTGTCCAGAAGAGATGGTGGGTTACTGTTAGAAGGAAAGGGTGAGGTGACTTGGGGTTGGACAGGTTATGTTCCCAGGTGGTCTTTGGCACTTTGTGGCTGGCTTATTCATTCCACAGCTGCTGCCTCAGCATCAATGATGGGGTCCTGCTTAGGTGCCCCTGCAGGCGAGGACGTTCCTGAATGAATCACAGAAGGATGCTCACAGGAGGATGCTCAGGTGGCCTGGTCCCTGGCAGTGGGGTCATACTGCCTTCAAACACTCAGGAGCCCCCATGGGGCAGAGAATCACATGTTATCCTGGCTCACCTTTGGAGTCCTGTGTAATTGCAGGACCTGTTCTCCTAAGCCTCCCTAGTGCCAGGAAGTGCAAACACATTTTTTTCTAATCCACAAAATAATCATCCGTTCTTCCCATTGTGTCTCTGAACATCACTTTTTATCATTATTTATTCCCATCTTTTGTTTCCCTATCCCAAGTGATTTATTTACAAAATATATAGGAAGATGGGCTAGTTTATAATGTGAAATTTTAAACAGTCTGAGGTTAAGGTGTTTCAAACAATATTTTCTGGGATTAGATCATGTGCCTCCCCACAGTTGGAAGTAGTTGGAAAGATGTAACCCACAGTCCCCGCTTTGTCCTTGAGAGGGTGCTGGTGGTGTAGTGTGCTGCATATTGCACTGCTAGCCTAAAGGTTAGCAGTTCCAATTTAGCAACTGCTCTGAGGGTGAAAGATAGGTAATCTCCTATAGTAAAGATTTATAGCCTCAAAAACCCAAAGGAGGAAGGGTCCCTTTAAGTGGGAAGTAGCCGGGCAGCAGTGGGTGGTCTCTGTCCTGGACCACAGCATAGCTGTCCTGCCTTTGTCAGAGGTGGTCTGACTTTAAAGAAGACAGGAGAAGTGTTGACAGTAGGAATCATGGGAGAAGGCTGCCTCCGCAGGTCCAACCATAATTGCAAGTATTGATTTGGAATTTCTTCCTAGAAACAGTAAGGTAAAGCTCAGAATTGGGGAAATGATGCCATCAGTGAACAAATTAGCTCCATTAAATTCATTTCACATACTCGCAATAATTTCAAAGACCAACAAACCTTAACATGAGCAGATTTTGAGCTTTTGTTCCAAATAGAGATCATGCAAGGAAGCCTTGGTTATAACATAACAGCATTTAAAAATATGTTACAAGGGGAAGGGTGATGAAATTCTCTACTCATTCACAGACGTGTCCTCTGGGGAGCGAGCTGAACCAGCAACAGTGGGTCTGTGTTGCAGCAGGCATTCTTGTATTCCTCTGAGCACACTCAGAACAGCCCCTGGGAGGGGAACGGTGAATACGTGGCTTTAATTTTATTCCTTTTTCCTTCCAGTGCTAAATAACTGTGTGCTCATCAGGACTCATTCAGACAAGCAATTTCATCCTGACCTTTAGTCTTAGCTCCTTTGGGGAATAATTGAGTTGTAACTCATTGTGTAAAGTCTCAACATGTAAATAGGTACAGATTCTAGTAACACCACAGAACCCAGGCAGCTTCCGGTGGGAGTTTTAGTGTTTCCCCATCATCTCTGGTCTTGGGCTTCTTCTCCTTTTACTGAGTCCTTTTTCTTCATTTTACCCTTGCAGATCGCAGAGTAAATTAATTTCTAAAAGATTTAGAGCTACACTTACGCTGTTTAAAAGCCCAAATAGCTAGCAGGAAAGGCATATTCATTCATTCAACAAACATTTCATCAAACCTAAGAAGACCATCACACTCATGAGAGACAAAATTCCAAGTTCTCATCCATACCACTGAAGCCTTTGGCCCCAGAAGCCTCACGTGACCCCATCCAGCCTCCCTCTACTTCCTTTGCAGGAGTCCTGGCCGCCAGTGTGCATACAAGGACAGACAGACATCGATGACATATTCCCATTCCAGTCCAAAGTCCCCTGACTCAGAGAGTCTGGCAGACCGCAACTGCTGCTAGTTTCCTTTCTGAGTCTTCCCAGTTACCAATGTCTTCACTTAATGAAGCCCTCAAGAATGGCCATGCCCTCTTGTGTTAAAACCTTGAGAGCTTGGGCTTCTGATGAGAAGAAAGTCTCCAGCCACCAGAATCAAGTTCCAGTTCCATGGGTGTTGGCTCTGGCAGCTGCAGGAAGAGCCCTGGGAGAAGACTCTTCTGTGTTAATGAGCGGCTAGAGGGGCAGTTGCTGCCTTTACCCCAAGTGATACCCTCTTGTTGATGAAACTAAACGTGATTCACAGAAAGGTCTGCAAAGCAACTGTTAAACGAATTGATTGAAAAAGTTTCATTACATTGATTTTGCTAGCTTTTGTTATATTAGGATTTATAGTTTACACAAAAATTTCATCATCATGGAAATTGGCTTTCCCCAGGGTCTTTTGCCCAAGAGAAGGTTTACCTCAGTTGCTATATGTTTTTTCTACCTGGTGCCTGATGCCCACTTCTCCTGACCACCCCACACTCCTGCTTGTGGCTACAGTGCACTCAAATCTAAAGAGTATCAGGGCATGTTTCTACAGCGGCCCCCTCCCAGCAGCTGGTGCCACCAACACAAGCCTGTGCCCCTCCTGCACAGAGTGGTCAGCCAGGCATGTTGAATTATCTCCTGGAGTTTCTCCCTGGAAGTCTGTTCCCCTGCCTCCTGTTCAGAGTAGAGCCTGACAAGGCCTAAGAATGCTATCGTTTGGAGTTAGAGGGTTACAGATTGCAAGCAAGGGATTTGATTCTTTACTGTTACCCTCTTTGGCTCCACAGACGGCACCATCAGACCTTTCAAAATGAAAAGACCCGCCTTTTGCCCATGGATGTGCTCTGCCTGCCCAGGAGCAGGACATCAGGGAGCACAAGCCCTCCACTTCCTCCCACGTGCTCTGTCCTGCTCTCTTAGGTGGTGGTTGTTGTTAGGTGCCATTGAGTTGGCCAGTTCACTTACTGGGGACTTAATGTCACCGTATAATGTCACTGGAAGTCATTGTCCTGCCAATCTCAGATGCTTATCCTTTCCTATCCCAGTAATGGTCTTGTCTCTCTGATCATCTTGGGTTTATGGGGGTCTCTGGTGGCACTTAGCTTTGGGAAAAGCATTTCAGCTTCAGCTCTAGGGCTCCCCTGTTGCCTGAGCATACAAGCAGAATTCTTGGCTTTCGTAGAAGGCTAAGTGTCCAGATTTGTAAGTCACGTTCAGTTCCAAGAACAAAACGCCGTGATTTCCTGTGACCTCTACAAATCATTTATCTGACCTCTGAGGGAGAAAAATGAAAGGTTGGTAGTGAATAACTAGACTCTATACCATTTCTAGCATCTGTGACCCCAAGGGTGCAGGAGTTCTGCAGCAGGAATCTTTCTGGGCTGCCATTCTTAGTCACAGCTTTGGGATGGAGATGCAGAATTGGAGAAGGGCAGAGAACTCGACCATTGTGTCTGCTTGTGATAACATGGACTTGAGTAATTTCTGTTACTTGAGTATGAAAACTGAAATCCTCAACATATTTTTGCACATAGATAAGCAAATGCTGTGGTTTTGTAACAATAGAGAGTCACTAACCTAGTGAGCAACCCTGAGCCACAGCACTGACTATTAAAGGTCAGCAGTCTGCAAGCAGAACTGGCTCTAATTGGCCTAAAATGATGTCTGATTACCCAGCTCCCTGGCAGGCTGTGCCCACACTTCCCTGCATGCCGAGGACCAAGGCTGCTGTTCTCAAGTCCTGCACTGCCATTCTGCGTCTAGTTGAGTAAGGTTTTGTTCTTAAAAAATGATAATGTCACAAAATGATGACTTTCTTTTAAATGGTAAAATCTTAAGCAGACCAGAGGGAAGAAATATAGACCAGTTAAGTCATTATAAAAAGTCTTT